GCTGTGGGCCAGGCAGGAAGACAGGCCAGCCCGCCCGGGGCGGAGCGTCCTCGAACCCACTGAGAAGGGGAGCTGGGCTCTCGGCAGCCTGGGAAGGAGGCGCTGTGCCCTGGGACCACGCTCGGCCCTCTGTGTGGCTTCTCCAGCTTGGGGACAGTTAGTGTTGGGAGGGGATGTGGCGCACCTTGCTGGTCTGTTCGACACACCTTCACCTGCAGGGTGGAAGAGGAGGAGGAGGGAGGGAGGGGAAGCAAACGCCTCCTCTGATTCTCCGGTTTTTCGTCATTTTTGGGGAACAAACATCTCTGGAAATAGTTCTGTTTTCTTTCTTTCTTCTTTTTGTGAGATCAGAGTCTCACTTGTTGCGCTGGGTAATGAGTGCCTGGCGTCAGCTAGCTCGCAAGCACCTCAACGATCTGGCTCAACGCGATCTGCTTGCTCGCTCCGAGTAGCTGGATACAAGGCTGCGACCTGCCCGGCCAATTTTTTCTAGTATTTTGTTGTTGGCTATTTCTCTTCTATTTTATAGAATGGGTCTCGCTCTTGCTCAGGCTGGGTCCGAACCGCTGAGCTCAACGATCGTCACGCCGGCTCCCAGCGAGTGCCAGGATTAAGGCGGGAGCCGCTGCGCGCCGCCTTGGAGCGGGTTTTGAGAGACTAGAGCTTCCTTCGGCCTCGGCTGGTTTTCTTCTTGTTTGAGTCAGGGGTAACAGGAAGGGCCTGTGGAGAGGGCTGTTGTCAGGAAAGTGTGCGGGCCTGGGTGAGGAGCGGCGGCCGAGGCCTCGGGTGCGTTGGTCTTAGCCACGGCTGCGGGTGGTGTGGTCCTTCAGCAAGATTAAAACCAGCACTTCGCGGGTCGCTGTGGTCCACGCTCTGGGGGGCGGCGGAGAATGCTTGAAAACCCGTGGCTGGAGGTGCTTGAGCGGTGATGAACCCACACTATAGAGCCAGGCAAGACAGCAGGGATCGCTGTCTCAAAACAAAAACCCAAACGCCGTATTTTGACGGTAGTCAGTATCCGGTGGTCGGGGCGCGGAGGCACAGCTGGGCTGCTGGTCCCAGCAGGTCTGTCGGTCCCAGCCCTCGTGCTCTTTGGGCTGATTTCCAGATCTGACCTCCTCCCCAGACTGTCCCCACAGCCACCAGCCTCCTACTCAAGGACCCCAAACTCCACTGGGGGCTGGTTTACAGGGCGGGAAGCAGCACTTCCGGGGGGCCTGCAGGTCACAGAGGCGTCCTCGCACGCTGGCCCCAGGCCCCACCACGTCAGGCCCAGCCCGGGCAGTGTTGGGACGGAGCCTCCGCCATTTCCCTGTTTCCTTTAGTCAGATTCTCTCTTTAGAGTGGAGCACGGCCAGGCGTGGCAGCTAACACCTGCTGGCGACTAGCCTGGGCACTAGAGCCAGATCTCGTCCACGTAAACATTTAAAAACCAGCCTGGCGGCAGGGCGCGGTGGCTCACGCCTGCAATCCTAGCACTCTGGGAGGCCGAGGCAGGAGGATTGCTCAAGCTCAGGAGCTTGAGACCAGCCTGAGTAAGAGCAAGACCCTGTCTCTACTAAAAATAGAAAGAAATCAATTGGCCAACTAAAAGTATATAGAAAAAATTAGCCCAGCATGGTGGCGCGTGTCTGTAGTCCCAGCGACTCGGGAGGCTGAGGCAGGAGGATCGGTTGAGCCCAGGAGTTTGAGGTTGCTGTGAGCTAGGCTGACGCCACGGCACTCTAGCCCAGGCAACAGAGACTCTGTCTCAAAAAAAAAAAAGAAAAAGAATAATGCTGCTACACACATGTGTTTACAAGTTTCTGTAAGCATGTTTCCTTTCCTCTTGGGCACACACCTAGGAGTGGAACTGCGGGATTGTTTGTGGGGACGAGTCGATGCAAACCCACCCTCAAAGGCCCAGGAAGCTGAGACTGACGGAAGTGGCTGCCAAATGGAGTTTCTCAGAAACACCTAACAGGGACTTGGGAACAGAGGCTGTGTCCTGGGCGGTGGGGAAATGAGAAGGTGGGTCCTCCACTGTCACCAGAAGACCCAGGGCTCATATGCCACAGGGAAGGTCAGAGAAGGCCACCCCTCAGGGATGGCCTTCTCATTTACCTGAGAATGGGACTTAGAACCTGTGTTTACAGTGACACTCAGGTCCTTTAAGACCTAAGGGCAGGATCTTGTGAAAGTAGAAGTCCTAGAGGCGTTCTTGGAACCGGGCTAATCAGAAGTCAGCACTAGCCTGGCATGGTGGCTCATGCCTGTAATCCTAGCACTCTGGGAGGCTTAGGCAGGAGGATTGCTCAAAAAAAAAAAAAGTCAGCACGGTGGACGCACACCTGGGGGGCCGCTTTAGCCTCCACAGGGCGATGCAGGACTCTGGGATTAGCGTTTTGAGGAGTGGCCAGACTTTGCCACAGAGGCTGCACCGCTTCTCGTTCCCACCAGGAGTGTTCTGATTGCTCTGTGTCCTCGCCAACATTAAGTAGTATCTTGTTGTGGTTCTGCTTTGCATTTACTTAGTAACTTATAATGAGTGTCTTTTCATGTTTGGGTCTTTCTTCCAGTTTTAGAGAAATGTTTTTTCAAATCCTTTGCCTTTTTTTTTTTTTAGAGACAGAGTCTCGCTTTGTTGCCCGGGCTAGAGTGCCGTGGCGTCAGCCTAGCTCACAGCAACCTCCAACTCCTGGGCTCAAGCGATCCTCCTGCCTCAGCCTCCCGAGTAGCTGGGACTAAAGGCGTGTACCACCATGCTCAGCTAATGGTCCTATTTTTAGTAGAGAAGAGGTCTCACTCTTGCTCAGGCTGAGGCGGGCCTGGTTGGCAATGTGTTTTAAATGGCAAAGGGGCCGGCAGGGTGGCTTATGCCTGTAACCCTAGTACTCTGGGAGGCCAAGGTGGGAGGATCGCTTGAGGTCAGTTCAAGACCAGCCTGAGCAAAGCAAGACCGTGTCTCTACTAAAAATAGAAAGAAATTAGCCGGACAACTAAAAATATACAGAAAAAACAATTAGGCTGGGCGTGGTGGTTCACGCCTGTAATCCTAGCACTCTGGGAGGCTGAGACGGGTGGATCCTTTGCGCTCAGGAGTTTGAGACCAGCCTGAGGAAGAGCGAGACCCCGTCTCTACTATAAATAGAAAGAAATTAATTGGCCAACTAATATATATAGAAAAAATTAGCCGGGCACAGTGGCGCATGCCTGTAGTCCCAGCTACTTGGGAGGCTGAGGAAGTAGGATCGCTTGAGTCCAGGAGTTTGAGGTTGCTGTGAGCTAGGCTGACGCCACGGCACTCACTCTAGCCTGGGCAACAAAGTGAGACCCTGTCTCAAAAAAAGAATTGTTTGCTAAACCCAAGGTCAGAAATTTACCTATTTTCCTCTAAGATATATAATTTAGAATGTTAAATATTTTTTGAGACAGTCTCACTCTGTCACCAGGCTAGAGTACCGTGGTGTCAGCCTAGCTCACAGCAACCTCAAATTCTTGGCTCAAGTGATCCTCCTGCCTCAGCCTCCTGAGTAACTGAGATTACAGGTGTGTACCACCACGCCTGGCTTTTAAATATATTATTCATTAAACATTTTGGTTAGAAGGAATATAAGCATAACATTGGTTGATTGGCAGGGTCTTGTTGTTGCCCAGGCTGGAGTGCAGTGTCATCATCATAGCTCACAGCAACCTCAAACTCCTGGCCTCAAGTGATCCTCCTGCCTCAGCCTCCCAAGTAGCTGGGACCACAGGTGCCACCATCACTCCTGGCCTGGGAACTACCTTCTGTGAGGTAAGGTCCAGCTGTGTCCTTCTGCACATGGACAGCGGCTGTCCTGGCACTGTGTGTTGAAAAAACTATTCTCTTGGCCGGGCGCGGTGGCTCACACCTGTAACTCAAGCTCTCTGGGAGGCCGAGGCGGGCGGATCGCTCAAGGTCTGGAGTTCAAACCAGCCTGAGCAAGAGCGAGACCCCGTCTCTACTATAAATAGAAAGAAATTAATTGGCCAAACAATATATATAGAAAAAATTAGCCAGGCATGGTGGCGCATGCCAGTAGTCCCAGCTGCTTGGGAGGCTGAGGCGGTAGGATTGCTTCTGAGACCAGGAGTTTGAGGTTGCTGTGAGCTAGGCTGATGCCATGGCACTTGCTTTAGCCTGGGCAATAAAGTGAGTCTGTCTCAAAAAAAAGAAAAAAAAAAAGAGACTATTTTCTCCCCACCTAACTGGCGTGGCCTGCCTGCTGGGATGTCTTGACAATAAATCACGACTGCTAACTTTGTGTAAGCTGCAGTCATTGAGAAAAAAAGCTGAGGTTGACTATGAAATGCTGAGTGCAGGGCTTGGAACCGTCCCCAGGGTCCAAGTGGGCACTCGGATGGCTTCCGGCTTAGGGCCACGTGACCTGCAGGTGGGGGCAGCAGAACCCTGAGACTGAGTGCTGGGGGAGGGTCCCCCCCAGATGGAGCATGTGCGGCCCCTGGAAGGTAAGCTCTATCGGGAGGGGCTGCCCTCTGGCCCGACCCTGCCGGTCTCTGGCAGCTTCAGGAGGAGGGGTGGGCAGGAGCTATGACGGTTGCCCTCCCCTCCCTGCACCCTGCCCTGCTGGGGCCGCTGCCAGGCCTGGCCTTGCCAAACCAGCCGGGGCACTTCCTGAGGGCTGGGGCAGAGCACTAGTCCCACAACCAGACCAAAGCCTGCGGGAGCTGCCTGCTGGAGCTGCCTTTGTGAGCCTCCTCGTTTCCAAGGAAGCAGCAGCCTCCCGGGACTAACTCACTGGGCCTAACCACTGTGAGTTTCCAACCTACGCATTGCAGTTTTGTGAAACTCTGGTTGAACCAACTCCAAACAAATCGGACATGGTGACCGGGACAATGTGAGCAGGGAGTAGAGAGATGCCCAAAGACGTTGAGGATTTATATGTAAAGAATCGCTAATGTGGTTATGTTTGGGTTTTTTTTTTGGGGGGTCACAGGGTGGAGCCCACCTTCTGCAGAAAAAACAAAATCTTTAGATATGCACTTTAGTAATTTATATGTAAATGACACCATGTCTGAGCTCTTCCAAATAACCCCATGGGCTGGGCGGGGAGGGGTCTGTGACAGCCCACAGCCACCCTGTGTGGTCTCAGCTTAAGCTGGAACAGGGAAGGGGGGGTCCTTCCCCCCAGACGACAGAAGTGTTGCCATACAGCGGTTTTCAGCACAGGCACAGAGCCGTGCGACTGCCTCCGCTCTCATCTGCTTTTCTACACCCTCGAGACCCCACGGGTCTCCCTGCTCAGGCCCAGGGCAGCATCTGGGTGTGACCACCAGGCCATCCCCTTGCCTGTCCTGTGGCAGCGCCAGGCCTCGGGGCAGTGGCCACACTGGCTCCAGCCCCAGCCCATCAGCCTGTCCTGGGCCCACTTCCACGGCCTAGGGCTCCCTTCAGGCGCACCCACAGGGCCTGTTGGGGGTGGTCGGCCCTGCCCCCACAGATGCCCAGCCTGGCCCACTCACAGTGGGGGAGGGGGCCTGCAACACCTGGTACTTGCTGGGTGGGGTGGCCCTGCGGGGTCCAGAAGGTCTATGCGGACCCAGACGCCCCAATGCAAGCACCCCCGCACCCCCAGCCTCACTCCCCCAATTCCTCTGCCCACCAGTCACTAAATGCCAAGGTCCCAGCCAAGGCCCTCAGCCCTGCCCTGCTTAGGGGTACGTGCTGCCCTGGGTGGCGCAGTGTGGAGGCCAGAGGCGGGGTGGCTCTGTGTTTATTAGCAGCCACTGCAGAGCGCGTGGGCTGCACTCGGCCCTTCCAGGGGGCCTGGGGAGACAGCTGGGCGCGGCGGCCAGCCCTGTTTGCAGGGGACAGGCTGTGGGGCGACCGCTGTCCACACAAGATGCACCTGCTGGCCGCCTTGGCCCCATGTGGGTTCCGTTTCCCAGGGAGCCAGGAGGGAAGGACACAGGTGGCCTTGGGGACACAGGCACAGTCCCTGAGGACAGCAGCAGCCTGTTGGCACTGAGGTTTTGGTCAAACTAATCATTAAAGCAAGTGGGGTGGGGGTGGGCAGAGACCTCGGGGACCCATCCATCACCAGCATGGCCTCGCCTTGCCGGAGCCGCCCTTCCCGGTGCTGGCTCCTAGTCTGCGCTCGCCTGGCTGGCTTCCTCACTGCCCTCGAGGGCACAAAGGCACGGTCCCTCCCTCCCGACAGTGCGTGTGCAGAGCATGTGCGCGTGCAGAGCGTGGTGAGCGCAGCCTGGCTCTGCCACCCGACTACTCGACAGACACTGCTGGGGGCAGCGCTGACCGGCCACGGCACCTGGGAGGGGCAACCATGGTGACAGGGAGGGCCTGGGAGGGGACAAGGTCACTGGAATGCGCCCAGCCAGTGGCAGGGCCAGGAGGGGCTGAGGCTCCAGGAGCAGGTGGTGGCCCCGGCACCCCGACCTGACTCTTTGGAAGAACCTAGTGCTGGCGACCCTGCGGCCGGGTCAGGACAGCACTTTGATGCCGAAGTGCTTGCGGAGCTGCTCCAGGAACACGAAGGTGAGCACGGTGTGTGGTATGAGCCGGATGCCGGCAGGGAAGAGGCCCTGGAAGGAGACGAGACGGGTGAGACGGGTGAGAGGCCGGAGACGCCGAGAGCCCGGGGCCGCCCCTCCCCCGTGCGCCCCGCGTTGGCCGCACCTTGTAGAAGGCCAGGGGCCCGAGCTTCGCGGTCTCCACTGCGCAGTGCAGCACGCCCTGCAGAGACACGGGATAGCGACAGCGAGCGCCCAGTGCCCAGTGAGAACCTCCCAGCCGTCCTCCGCGGCACCCCGGCCCGGACGCCCCTCGCACCTGGTACTCGCCCTTGGCGTTCATCAGGCGGGTCTTCAGCACGTCCAGGGGCTGGCACAGGAACGTGGCGCATCCCCCCTGCGGAGCGGAGCGGTGCGTCAGGGAGGGGCCCGCGGGCGCCACCCACGCCCTCGCGCGTCCCCCCACAGCCCAGGCTGGCGAGCGCCATCGCAGTGACCCCAGGACGCATGCGCCGTCGCATTGACCCCCCCAGCCCAGTGAGCGCCGTCGCACTGACCCCAGGACGCATGCGCCGTCGCATTGACCCCCCAGCCCAGTGACCGCCGTCGCATTGACCCCCAGCCCAGTGAGCGCCGTCGCACTGACCCCAGGACGCATGCGCCGTCGCATTGACCCCCCAGCCCAGTGAGCGCCGTCGCACTGACCCCAGGACGCATGCGCCGTGCGGCTCGGGCTTGCCGTGAGCACCCTGCTTATATGGGCGCTGGGCTGACTCGCGACAGTCCCCCCCAGTGGCCACTTCTGGGCCCCCGACAGGCAGCGTCAGACTCGCCAAGGCCCCCCGCGCCCTAGAGCCCTCCCCGCCGGGCACTTACCGCAATGAAGCTGGAGATGAAATGAGTGAAGATGTTGTCGGACATATACCCAGTGCAGAGGACCAGCTGCTTGGTCTGGTCGTAGCAGGACAGCTGTAGGCGGGACAGGGACGGTCAGGGCTGCGGTGGCCCAGCTCCAGGGAGAGCAGACAGGCCCCGCGGCGACCAGCTCGTGCTCTGTGCAGGGTTGGGGCAGAAAGCGGAAGGGCTGCGGCCCTGACGCCCTGTGTCCCCCGTCCCAGCTCCCCGACGGGGCTCTTGGTGCCCACTGCCCTGCTCTGGGACCCCCCTAACACAGAGTGCAGAGGGGGCAGACCCTGCCCCACCCCCACCCCATGCAGGAGCCTACCTGGCCCATGGTGACCAGAGCTCCTCGGCTGGACGCCATGCTCGCGCCCGAGAACAGCTTCTTCAGACCCTCTGTGCGAGGAAGGGGAGAGGTTGGACCCCCCGTCTTGCACGACACTCCCTGCACGCCCCCTTGCAGAGTGCCCGCCCGTCTCACCTTCTCGAGCCACGCGGTACAGGCCATCCAGGGCATGGGCGTAGCTGCCGGGGACACAGAATGGGCCATGTGACACTCTCCTGACCACCAGGTCCCACAGGGAGGTCCTCCCGGGCCCCAGGGAGAGCCTCGCCCCCATCACAGGGCCAGAGGCCCCATGAGGTGTTTGCTCCCCAAGGAAACACCCGGTGCCGGCCCCTTGGGGGCTGCCAGCGGAGGCAAAGGCGAGGGCCGCCCCACCCTGCTCCGCTCGCTCCGGCCCCAATTGCTCCGGCAGAGCCTGGCTGGCAAGTGCCCAGGGCACCCGCTGGGCAGGGCTCCCACGCACAGCCAGGGCCGGCAGCTTCCCGGGCTCCTCCCACGCTGTGGTCAGACCACGCCAGCCACGGATGGAAAGGCGGCGGCCCCCACTGCACTCAGGCACCCAGTCTGGACCACTCCCAGGACCCAGGGTCACGGGGGGACAGGCCCCAGCCCAGCCCCCTGGCCAACAAGACTCTTGCCACACGGGAAGAGCCCAGAGGTCCCGGGGGACCGAGTGACACCCCTAATGACTCCAGATGTGCCCGGTACCTGTTCCTGAAAGCCACCCACACTCCCCCAACATTCTGTGACTCCCCACAGGCAGCGTGTCCTGCTGGAGCCCCGGCTGGGTCACGGCAGAGCCGCTGGGGTCCCTCCGGGCCAGGCCTCCTGCACCCCCGAGGCCCCAGCCCATGACTCACTTGCGCCGCTGACCCGCGGGCAGCTTCACGTCATTCTGCATCCTGAAACGGAACCGCGGCTCAGGAGGGGCGGGCGGTGAGCTCACTCCGGCGGTCGGCAGGGCAGGCACCCCCCTACCCCCATGCCTGGACTCGAGGGCCCCAGCAGGCAGCCCTCGGCCACCGGGGGACAGGAAAGGCAGGGGCACACGTACCTGACGTTGACCATGTCCGCAGGCGTCCCCACGAAGCCTCCAGTCAGACCTGGGGGGGGACACAGACCCCAGAGCCAGGAGCAATCACCCCCGCTGCTCCCGCCCGGCCACCCCGTGCCCTTCCCGCTGGCCACTCACCGCTCATGGCGCCCAGCAACACCTTGGTGTGGAAGGGCATCGGGCCCTGGCTGCCCTTGGCCAAGTGGTCACGCACGGTCTCATAGATGGCGAACCGAGTCAGGGAGTAGGTCATCTGCAGGAGAAGGGCCCAGCTCAGAGGACAGGCACCCCCACGCCCCAGCCCTAACAGGCGCACAGCCACAGGCCCGTGAGCCACAGGGCCACAGAGGGCCTTTCCCAAGGCCACTCGGCTGGCAAGCGGCTGAGCCAGCTCGTAAATCCAAGGCTGCACCCTCCCCAGGCCTCAGTTTCCCCATCTGTAAGCGGAAGTGTTGGGCCCAGCCGTGAGAGTTGAGGGCAGATGCTCCTGGAGGGCAGAGGCGGCCCAACGCCCAGAGCGGGCCCGTGTCCAGGGCGTGGGGCCTGGGACCGGGCAGCGGCCGCGTGCGCCTACCTGCCTGCACAGCGAGGCGCTCAGGCCGCTGTAGAGGGCCAGGACGCCGTCGGAGCGCACCACGCGCAGCGCCATGCCCGTCATGCGCAGCTTCACCTCCTGCTGCGTCTGCAGGTGCACCTGCGGGAGACGGGCGCTTTTAGACCCCACAGTGGTCCCGTGGGCTCGGGGGCTACAGAAGGGAAACCGAGGCAGGGACCATGATGAGGCCGCCTGAGGCCCCACCGGGGGCCCCGCAGCCATGCCTGCTCCACGCGGCTGTTTCAGGACAGTGACCACAGCAGCCGACAGGGCGCCCAGGCGAGCCCACCAGGCCCTGGGGAACACCCCGGGCGCACCACCTCTGGGCGCTCGCCATCCCAGTCTGACAGATGAGGAAACCGAGGCACAGAGAGGTGAAGCACCCACCGGTGCTGTCAGGCATTGGGCCCGGTGGGGTGGCTCCAGAGCCCCACCTTTTCACCACGTCTCCGAAGGGACAAAGATGTAGGGAGACTTGGAGATGACCGGAGAGCCCAAAGCATCAGGGGACCCAGAGCCGGCAGCCAGGGAGGGCCTTGGAGGGCAGTGGGACTTCCGAGGGGCGAGGAGGAGCGGCGCTCCCACGTGGCCACGGCGTGGGCCACAAGCACAGGGCAGGGCGCAGGGAAAGAGCCTACTGTGGGGGCGCGGAGAGGCTGCCAGCCCCCCATGTCCCCAACCCGCTGGCATCACCACTCATGGGACCTCCCCCGCCTCCCCTGGCCAGGCCAGACTCCAGGCAGAAGGGGGAGCAGACAGGAGCAGAGGGAGGCCAGAATCCAGCTTCCCGCTTCCACCCAGCACGGACCCCAAGCAAGCTCGTCCCCAGCTAAATGTGACAGCCCCCCGCCCCCGCACGTGCACGGCCACCTTCGAGCTTGCCCAGGGGAGCCCCCCCAAAACAAGGGGCAGCACAGATGGGCGGGGACAGGGCTGCACCATCAGAGTCATCCTCCTGTTGTGCGAGCCAGGCAGGACAGAGGGCCTGGGCCTGAGCACAGGGCGGCCACGCGGGCAGCAGCCCCTGTCCACGAGGGACGCGGCTGTGGGGGCCACACCAGGATGTGGGGCAAAGAGACCAAGGAGCTTCAGAACCTTCCCGACAGTCACGCCAGAGGCCCTGCCGGGCAGCCCTTGGGGAAGACACTGGCTGCCAGGCCCTGACCACTGCACCCTGGCATGGGTCCACGATCCGTGGTGGCCGCCTTCCCTGACCCCTCCAGGCAGGGGCTGCTGCCAACGAGCACCTGGGTGGGGGGTGGGGGGGCGGGGGCCGAGGAGCAGTGACGCCAAAGGAGCTTCAATGTGCAGGGACAGGCAGCTCCAGGTCCCAGCCTCACCCGCTGGGGAAAGGGGCCTGCTTGGCACCCCGGGGAAGGCAGAGAACCAGGCCCCAGGAGGAGCGACCCTCCCCAGACCAGACAGGACCACACCTCTCCGGGACCAGGCGTCTGGGACACCCCTGTTGCTCATGTGGCCCCTACTCAGTGAGTGGCACTCTCGCTAATCAGAAAGGCTGATTCCTTCCCTTTAGGAGGAGGAGGGCGGGTCCAGGTCAGGCTGAGGTCGGGGGACGGCCCGGGGCTGGGTCAGCCGCCCAGGCGCCCTTCAGGCCCCGGCTGGCTGCTCCTTGCCCGCAGTCCGCCCACGACACAGCCCGGGTCCACGGGGCAGGGCCTCTGGGCAGCCTGTGCAAAGCCTCAAGGCCCTTTCTTCTTTGTGGCGAGAAGGGTCAGAACAACCCCCCCTTGGCTGGCCCTGGAAAACAAGCAGACCTCTGTCTTACTTCGCCCCGAGTGCATTTAAAAAAAAGAAAACAAGCATGACTGCTTCTCATGCTGAGAAATGCCCACTCCCGCAGGGCCAGGAGCCCAGGCGTGCGGGGTCTCCCAGCAAGTCCCGGGGCGAGCTGGTCCCTACAGCACTCCCCCAGCCATCCCAGCGGAAGCAGCCCGAAGCAGGTGCCCAGCTCACTCGCCTGCCCAGGCCACGTCCCAGTGTGCTGAGCCCCCCACGCCCTGGGTACGCTAGAGCCCGAGCAGCACCGGGTGCCAACACCTGTGCACCCCACTGACCCTCCACTTTTAACCAGGCAAAGCAAGAGTCCATGAACGCCTATGGGGGACAGCTGGTTCAGAGAGCCCAAGTGGCTCCCGCAAGGTCACACAGGTACTAGAGTGCAATGCTGGGGCCTGAACGCCATGGGGAACTGGACGGCACCCTGCAGGCCTCCAGGCTCCGCTGCCACCTGCAGAGGAGTCTCAGGGCTGCCCCACCGGGCTGCAGGCTCTCCAGGTAGGAACACCCACCGGGCTTCACCTCCCAACCCCCAGGCCCCCAGGCAGAGCAAGGCAGATGGGTGTGGGCCGGTCTGGGGACTCCAGGGTCCCACCTGCGCTGCCCTGAGCCCCCTGCCCTGCCCATGCCCCTCGCTCATGCCCCACACCCCCAGGCCCCGTACCTCCTCTCCCCACCCCTATAACCCCTACTCTAGCCCCGGCCCTGTGCCCCCTGACCCCGCTCGGCCACCACGTCCCTGCCTCGTATCCCCTCTCGTCCAGTCCGGCCCCCTCCCCCACGACCCCACTCCCCGCGCCCTCCCCTTGCCCATGCCCCGCGCCCCCCGGCCGGTACCCCACGCCCTGCCTGCCCCATGCCGCCTCCTCTAGCCCCCGTCCCCGGTCCGCGGCCCCGGCCGGCCTCACCTTGAGCAGGTCCAGCGGGTGCGTGCAGCAGGCGGCCCCGCAGGAGGCCAGGCCCCCGAAGTACCAGCGCGACACGCGCGCCTCGGCCGCCATTGCACGGAAGACCCCGGCCCGACCCCGGCCCGCAGCGCCCGCTCGGGTTCAAAGCTCCGCCACGCGCCCGCGTCCGCACCGGCTGAGCGTCCGCGCGGCCCGGGGCGGGACTCGAGACCACGCCTCCCGGCGACGGGCCTGCGCCCTGGAGCACCGCGGGAGCCGAGGGGGCGGGCCCGGCCTGGGCCCGGAGCCGAGCCTGGAGCTGCGGGCCGCTTCCTCCCCCCCCCCACTCTGCAAGTCTGCAGCCCCCACGCGACGCCCCCTCAGGGCATCGGAAAACCTCCTGGGGCAAAGGGCAGTTAGAGAAGACTGGGCGCACCCCCGCACACGCGTGCACGCACATGTGCATACACGCCGCGCACACATGTGCATACACACCACGCACATATGCATACACACCACACACGCATACACACCGTGTATACACACATGCATACACATCGTGCGCACATATGCATATATGCTTTACACACATGCACACACCACACACATATGCACACATACGTGCACACACATGCACACACATGTATGCATACACAGACACCAGGGAGCTCCCAGGCAAGTCCAGCTCAGCTCAGCTCAGGACAGAGGTACCAGGCGGCCACCCTGGGGCTGGGGTCTGGGCTTTGAAAGCCTCAAGGTCGCTGGGGCTCAGGTTCAGGTGGCCCACATTGGCCTGGCAGCAGATGTACCTGCATCTGGTCCTGCTCTGATTCCACTTCCAGCACAGACGGAGGAAGTGTCCCTATGCTTCTGTGCAAGGGGGCTGGGCAAAGTGAAATCCAAGTCTCCAAGGCCACTTTAGGGCTAGGCCACAGAGATGAAGGGCCTATGTCCTGTGGCCTCGGCCTGGCCACTGCTGTCCCACCCACCCTCACCCTTCGCCCTGGGAAGGGCACTGGGAAAACAGTTCCTGGTCCCCAGAACTCACCAAAACCCAATATTGGGTTTGCACACCTCGAGGTTTGCATCCCTGAACCAGGCATCCTAAGCCCTCTGCTAACTGGACGAGCCCCTCTTGGCCGAGGGGATCCCAGAAACACCTTAAAACTGAGTTCCCAGCCAGGCTGGGCTCAGAGATTCTTCGAAGCACAATTGCAAATGCATGATTTTCCTTCAGAAGTACTCACAACTCCTCCTACGGCTTGTTGAATTTGTATATGTAACGCCCCCAACTTTTGTCTGTCCTTTGAAGCTGGAGTGCCTGGCTGCCACCAGGGCCTGCCCCGACTGCTGGAGTGGCAGTCCACAGCAGGCCGCCCTGTGGGAGCAGTAAGGCTTTCCCTTTCTCCAAAGTGTAAGCCTCGTTCACTTCTTTTTTTTTTTTAATTTTTTTTTGAGACAGAGTCTCACTCTGTCACCCAGGCTAGAGTGCCGAGGCGTCAGCCTAGCTCACAGCAACCTCAAACTCCTGGGCTCAAGCGATCCTCCTGCCTCAGCCTCCCGAGTAGCTGGGACTACAGGCATGCAACACCATGCCCGGCTAATTTTTTCCATATATTTTAGTTGGCCAATTAATTTCTTTTTATTTTTTTTAGTAGAGACGGGGTCTCACTCTTGCTCAGGCTGGTCTCGAGCTCCTGACCTCAAGCGATCTTCCTGCCTCGGCCTCCCAGAGTGCTAGGATGATAGGCACGAGCCACCGCGCCCGGCCAACCTCGTTAGTTTCTTTCACTTAACACATCCTGTGGCTCCCGCACAGCTGGCCTGCCGGGTGCTCAGAGGCAGGTTCCCTCCAGTGTCAGAGGTGCAGGCCGCACAGGCAGACCCGCCGTGTGCAGGGGTTCCCGCCTACAATGGCCGGATTTACAATTTCTCCTTTTCTTCACCATGGAGAGATCGGGATGCAACCCCATGGCAAGCAGAGGCCCGTGTGCCCTCCGGAGCCACGGGTGGCTCCTGCCCCGTCTCCGCCGTAGGCTTGTGCCTGGGCACCTGGGAGGTGACACAAACCTCGGGGGAAGCTGCACCTGAGGGCCACAATGTCCCCCAGTCTGTGTGACAGCCCAAGAAGGACGGGCCCGGCTGGGGGGCTGCAGCGGGCTGCTTCACCCAAGCCACCTGATGGCAGGCGACCCCCACCCACAGGAGGAGGCCTGCTCCCCACAGAACAGGAAGTGCCTCTGCCTCAGCGTTGGCAGGGCGGGGCCGAGGCTGAGGAGCGCAAGTGAGGAGACACTTGAGAAAACAGAAACATGAACCTCGAGGGCTACAGAGCCGCGAAGGCTCACTGTCTCGGGGGCTGGGGTGCAAGGGCTCCTTGCAGCCAGACTCTAGGGCTCAATGCATCCTCCCGCCACGGCCTCCCACAGTGCTACTGCCAGGCCAGGAGCTTTTCTCTGTAAAATGATGGGTTTTGCAAACTACAGGTGTGTGTGTGTGTGTGGGGGGGGCACAAAGATCTCCAGCTGTTCTCAAACACACCATAAAGACTTGGCCGTGAGCCCAAGGCGCTGCCTGGCCAGGGCTCTGGGTCAGGACCAGTCCCCCACTCCTCCATGCTCGGGTGTCACCTGGGGCTGCCAGCAGGGAGGACAGAGCGCCTGGCAGAAGCCTGAACGAGAGTGGGCAGGAAGGGCCCCTGGGGTTGGGAACTGCCTATCTGACCTTTTGTCAACCTGGATGAAGACACTTGCAGGACTAGGTGGGCTCAGGGCGCTCACCTCCTCCCTAGGGGAAAGGGCGGCTGCGCTCAGGCAGGGCGCACCCAGCCTCAGGCGCAGGTGGCTGCGGCGTTACCTCCTGACGGGCGGGCGGGCTCCCTGGGACCCACGGCTGAAGAATCATTAACCCTGAGCAAAGACCAAGTGCCATGGCCCATGGGCACTTGCAGGTCGGCCCGGCCTCCTCCAGGCCATAGGTCAGGGAGGCTTGGCCTGAGGTCCTGGGAGGGGCAGGGCAGGTCGGGGTGTGGGCCGGCTCCGAGCCCCTCCCCCAGCCCGTGGGCAGCACAGCAGACACGCAGCGCCCCCTCTTGGCCCCACGGAACCCAAGCGGGGCAGCTCCAAAGCATTATTCCAATGGGGAAATGGGAAACTGTGCCCCCAGACGGGTTCCCTGAACCAGGCATGTCTCCCAACTGGGTGCTCAAAACACCCGGTAGTCTCCTGCCCTCAGGCTTGGCCTGGAGCCTCCGGGCAGTTGGCCTTGGGTTAAAGGCCAGTTGAGGCAGGATTCCACTGCCCCTCTCTCCCAGGCTCCACTGCAAGCAGGCTTGCCCCCTGGGAGGCCTAGGTCCTCAGAGCAAGGCCCTGGCTGTTTTTGGCCACGCCGATGGCACAGCCACCTGCACTCACTGAGGCACCGAGAGCCCTGCAGCCACCCAAGGTGGCCCCAGCCATGGGGTGGCCACCACTCCAAGCCTGAACCCAGCACTCCCAGTCCATTGGCCTCAGCCCATCCTGCCCCCCATGGCTGAGAGTGGCTGTCATCCCAGCCCTATGGCTGCAAAGTACACCCCAGTTCTGGGGCAACCACCGGCCCCACCAGCCTGAGCCGGGGGCTGGACCGCTGGCTCCCAGGCCACCTCAGTTTGCTAGGCCAATGCTGCATCTCACGTGACTTTAAAAACTGCCAATAACTTAAGACCGAGAGTCTTGTACCCGAATCCCACCCCTGCAAGCAGGACGGGCTGTCTAGCCGGGTGCTCAGACAGCTCTGTGGGCCTCAGCAGGGCGGCCTGTCCCAGACTCAGGCCGCTCACCCCAGCCAGAAAGCCCAGCCACACTCCACACACAGCAAGATGCACACTGTATTTTTCTCAGCGGCCACCAGAGGGGTATGTCTGTTCCTCGTGCATCCTGGCTCTTCTCCCCGTGCCCGGTGCAGCCAGCAGCTGCCCCCCAGCTCCCGTCACAGTAGGTCCGTCCGCCACGCCCAGGCTGACCTGGCCACGCGGTGCCAGCAGCTCTCACTCCCCCACTCCCTGGTGCCGGGGGTGGAGAGGGTGACATGGGTGGGCGGGCCCGCCCGGGTCCCAGGGACCCTGAACACAAGTCCTCGAGCCAGAGGCTACTCCAGAACCACGGTGCCGCCCACGGCTTCCAGGGCCGCCTTGATCTTCTCGGCCTCAGCTTTGGCGACGTTGGCTTTGATTTCCTGGGGCAGGGACTCCACCAGCTTCTTCGCCTGCCAGAGAACAGAGTCAGAAACGTGGGGGCCTGGACTAGGGCAGCCAGACACACCCCAAAGCCACCAGCACAGAGCTGGGAGCAGCACCCACCTGGACAAGGTTTATGCCCTGGATGTGGTTCTTGATCTCCTTGATCAGCTTCACTTTGTCTACGGGGTTGGCCTCTGTCAGGCGGACGGTGAAATGGGTTCGTTCTTTTTGTTTGGGGACATCTTCTTCCACTGCCTTGAGGAGCAGAAAGAATGGGAGGCGAGGTAAGGGTGGGGTGAAGCCAACATCTTTGCCGTGGGGCCACCATCCTGGAGACCAGGGGATGAGCAGGCAAAGCCCAGGCCGATTCCCAGCTCCTGGCGGCCCCAGCGAAGCCCGGAGTTGGAGGTCAGGTTTCCCGGATAGTCTGTCCCCAAACCAGTTGGTGCCTTTTCTCCCTCCTATGCCAATCAGAGTTCAAACCTGGCTCTATTACTCAGAAAAGCTTTGTGAAGCTGCCTTCTCCCAAAACTCTACTCCCTCATCCCTTAGAAACTGTAACTTATAAGGGAAGAAAGACACCAAAACTGGTCTGTAGAAAAAATGTTACATGAAAACAGCGCCCACTCCCGTCCGCAGCCAAGCACAAGCGTGTCAATGAAAACCTGACAGCCACTTGAGCCTCCACGCTCACCAAGTGACCCACAGTGGGACAGACGGGCACGGCTGGTGGTTGACCAGCACCAGCTAGAAGGAGCTACGTGTTAGCAGCCCGGGGCAGGCCAGTTTGGACTTGCTGCCTGGCTACGAACAGCACCCCAGTGGTTCTCAGAGACAACAACCGTACCAGTCTCCCCCATAACGCCCAGCCTGCGTCTAACGAGCCTTATTTTTTTTTTTTTTTTTGAGACAGAGTCTTACTTTGTTGCCCAGGTGAGTGGCATCAGCCTAGCTCACAGCAACCTCAAATTCCTGGGCTCAAGCGATCCTCCTGCCTCAGCCTCCTGAGTAGCTGGGACTACAGGCATGTGCCACCATACCCAGCTAATTTTTTTTCTAGATATGTTAGTTAGCCAATTAATTTCTTTCTATTTATAGTAGAGACGGGGTCTCGCTCTTGCTCAGGCTGGTTTCGAACTCCTGACCTCGAACAATCTGCCCACCTAGGCCTCCCAGAGAGCTAAGATTACAGGCATGAGCCACCATGCCCGGCCTCTAACGAGCCTTTGAAGTGGTCTTCCAGCTCTTGGGGCACAGTGTTGATGCCCCATGGGAGCACGGGCCTCTAGAATGTGGGACCCTCCAGGACCTGAATGGCTTCCTCAGCAGGGGGTGCGGCCAAAGGAAGGGATGTGACACCATGGCTTTGGGTCTGCCCATTACCCCCACCACATCCTCTCTACCCCTGCATCCATCAGCCTCCACATGGAACCCCAAACACACGCTGTCCTGGGGGCCCTCGTGCCAGACACTTCCTCCTCGGGCACTCCTCTACTCCCCGAGTCTTACCTCCTCTGACGCCTTCCTTGAAATTGCACCCCACCCCCAGCCTTGGCCTCCTTCCCTCCTTTTTTCTTTTTTGAGACAGAGTCTCACTCTGTTGCCCCAGGCTAGAGTGCCGGGGCATCAGCCTAGCTCACAACAACCTCAAACTCCTGGGCTCAATCGATCCTCCTGCTTCAGCCTCCCGAGTAGCTGGGCCTACAGGCATGCACCACCATGCCCGGCTAATTTTTCTATATGTTTTTAGTTGGTCAATTAATTTCTTTCTATTTTTAGTAGAGATGGGGGTCTCGCTCTTGCTCAGGCTGGTTTCGAACTCCTGACCTCGAGCAATCTGCCCACCTAGGCCTCCCAGAGAGCTAAGATTACAGGCATGAGCCACCATGCCCGGCCTCTAACGAGCCTTTGAAGTGGTCTTCCAGCTCTTGGGGCACAGTGTTGATGCCCCATGGGAGCACGGGCCTCTAGAATGTGGGACCCTCCAGGACCTGAATGGCTTCCTCAGCAGGGGGTGCGGCCAAAGGAAGGGATGTGACACCACGGTGGCCTCAGCCCATCCTGCCCCCCATGGCTGAGAGTGGCTGTCATCCCAGCCCTATGGCTGCAAAGTACACCCCAGTTCTGGGGCAACCACTGGC